AAAAAATCAATAAAATATATTTTAAAAAATAAAAATAAAACACTACGCTGTAGTGGAGACCTGGATTTTCACCTTGCCCACTGTCATGTTAGCTGTAGCTGCCCTTTAAACTCCTCCTCTTCCTCCTCCTCCAATTCCTCCTCCTTCTCCTCCTCCACTTTCCCCTCCTCCTCTACTTTCTCCTCCTCCTCCCCCTCCCCCGTCCTCTTCCTCCTCCTCCTCCTCCACCTCCTCCTCCTCCTTCTTCTGTGTTTTGGGGCTGTTCTAAGTGCTTTACATGTATGGACTCATTTAATCCCCGCCATTGCACAAGATCAGCTCAATCTTACCCCATTTTATAGACGAGAAAGCTAAGGCACAGAGATGCTCTGGAATTTGCACGAGGCTCCAGGATGTAAATGGTGGAGCAAGGACTCAGACTCAGGCAGTCTGGTTGCAGAGCCAAACTCTGAAACTCAGCGCTATAAACTGTGTCTTGCCTTAGACAACAATCACTTCTCCTCTCTGTGTCTCAGCTTTCACATCTAAAATGGGGCTCTTTGACCATTAGTTCCACGTCTAAGCCTCTTTCTTGGTCCCAAGTTCTGTGAAGATGTCCACTCTTACGTGACTTTTCTGACTGCTCTACCTCTCTGGCCCTCACACCATCCCCTCCAACACCTGGACTCTATCCACTTTCCTGGGGTGTAGTTTCAGTCTATATAAGCCCCTGAGCACAGGGACTGTGGCCTGGCCCAGCTATGGCAAGACACTGTCCTAAGCATTGGTTTGCAAAGATCAGAGAAACATTTTCGGTTAAGGGCTGAAGAGCAAATACTTTAGATTTTGAGATCAAGCCTTGTGTTCTCTGTGCCACTGTAACAGGGCAGCAGCCATAGAGAATACACAAATCCATAAACAGGACCATGTTCTAATAAAACTCTACTTACAAAATCAGGCAGTGGGCAGGATTTGGCCCAAGGGCCATAGTTTGCTGACCTGTGGCAAAGATGACTATCACAGAGTTTCTGCTCTTTGGAGCAGCAGGGGGTAGCAGAGGAAATGAGCAGTGTGCAGCTAACCTAAGACACGGCAGGACTTGCTAAGTGTGTTAGCAGAGCTGCAGAGCCCTCCAGAAGAGAGCAGGTGGGTTCTGACTCGGGGATATGGATGGGCACTTGAGCTTGGCTTGGAGTGATGGGTAGAAGTTCTACAAGCAGAAGTGGGGACATACGCCAGGGCGTGCAGTGTGCTGGGGATGGGGCATCCGGAGGGTCAGGATGGGAGTGGACCTGGGACCCAGACAATGAAGACTGACTTCTGTGCTTTTCTCATGCCCTAGAGAAGGATGAACTACAGGGTTCTTCTCTTCTTTTAATTCAACAAATGTTCTGAGTGCCTACTATGTGCTAGGCATAGGTGTAGGCACGAGAAGATAGACAATATCTGCAACTTTAATTTTTATTGCATTGTCAACATTTGCACAGAGATTTAGGTCTGACTTTATCTTGGCCTCATAAGCAGAGAAATTGAACGAGTTGCTAAAGTTATGTCTAATGAACAGTGGCTGCTCCTATTCCAGAGTCCACTCTACTGAGCGACAGACTAATTCCTAGCTGCCTAATGAGTATCTCTACTGGGATGTCTGGAAAGACTCATCCTGCTCTTCTCTCCGTATTAGTTTGCTAGGGCTGCTGTGACAGAGTGGCTTCAACAACAGAAATGTGTTGTTCTGGAGGCTAGAAGTCAGAGATTGAGATGTCAGCAGGGCTGGTTCCTATGAGGGCTGTGAGAAAAAAATCTGTCCCAGGCCCCTAGCTTCTGGGGTCTGCTGGCAGTCTTTGGTGTTCCTGGGCCAGTAGACATATTACCTGGATCTCTGTGTTCATCTTCACATGGCGCTGTCCTTGTGGGTTTGTGTTGATATCTGCTCCCCTTTTAAGGACACTAGTCATATTGAGCAGGGCCCGCCCATCCTAACAACCTCATTTTAATTTGATTATCTCTGTAAATACCCTATTTCCAAATTAAGATCCCATTTTGAGGTACTGGGGGTTGGAACTTCAACATAACTTGTCTTGAGGACACAGTTCAACCCATAACACCTCTCCCAACACCCCTCCCCATATTCCATTGCTGATTGAATGGAACCTTCATTTCCCAGGCCTCTCATCTCCAGGCCACTCCTTCATCTCTTCACCAGCTGGTATGGTGGCCAGAATTGCCTGGACCAGGCAAGGCTAGATGCCACAGGCCCGTCACAGATGTCCCGGCTGCCAAGGAGGTTGCATTGGATCTCCTCCATTAACTTCTGGAAGGCGGAGGGGGAGGCCAGGCTGTATAAACCAGGGGGACTGCTTGGAAGATGTGCAACAAATGCCTGAACCACTGGCACTTTGGGATGTCAACTCGAGCATCAAGGACGTACTGGCGTAGTTAGGAAGCAGGAGCACTAACCAGAGGCCCCCTCTTGGGAAGCTGTGGTGGAGATGGAAAGTAGGTGGTGGGGAGTGGCGAACATTTGGGAACAGAATGTGGCTTGGACTGGAGAACAGGTTGGGGGAGCGGGGAGGGGGGGGGATTAGGCCTGGGGGAAGGGTGGTGAGGCCAAACAGAGGCCCAGAGGGGAAGAACAGGCCCCATGGGGGAAACGAGGCTGTTTTCAAACACATAAAGTCTGGTAGATAGTTAAGTCCAGAGCTCAGGAGAGAGGCAGGACCTTAAAACAAGTTTTCAGACACCTGAGTGGACTAGATTCCCTTGGGAAAGCCAGCAGGAGTGGAGGCTCTGCAACACTCTAGTCACTGCCCAAACCCTGGGAAAAAAAACTATTCAGAGAGTTGGAGGGAGAGAAGTGAGAATGAGGAGTCCGAGAAGGGCCCCAGAGGCAGGGTGAGGAGAGAAAGGTCCTCCTGAGACCACGGCATGAGGTGAGGGAAGGTCGTCGGCACCAGCTCTGGCAGAGGCCACGGGGGATGGTTCCTTAAAACGAGCATATTGTGTCCTGAGCTGGTTCTGTTTCGGTCAGAAGGAAGCTGCACACGCACCTCTGTCACCTTTTAACTGTTTATTGTATAATATAAAACTACAAAAGTAAGACTGCTCATTTCCATGTACATTTCATCTGTCCAGTTGTTTCGATTACAGCCCAAACCTACATGTGAATACAGCCATCGGGGTTCCAATGTAATATTGCATAGAAAAGGCACAGCTCTCAGGTCTGTGGGGGAAAGGTTACACTTCCTCTTTAGACAAAATCCTCCTTAAAAACTATGCACCAAATGTCACTATGTACATCGGTTCCAAAATCTTGGTTGTTTGCTTGTATGGACTGCACTTCTCTTCCAAACTTATTATCCCCAAAAAGATGTCCAAGATTTTTATTGGCTTTGTCTGCAATAGCATTTGATCCTGGCTAATTTTCAAGAAACATTTAGACTCATTCTTAGAAGCACTGAAGACAATGGTACACAAGCAGGAACATACACCTCGCCGTTCGCCGGCAATTACAGGAAGTTAACCATTTACAGCCAGAATAGGTCCAATATGCTCTTTTCGGTATTTTCATAAAATGTAGGAAGGCCCAATTTGTAACAGCAAGGTTTTTAAATTAAGACAATTCATGGAAAATATCAATCGCTACACTAGGTAGAGTCTTTTTTTTTTTTTTTCAACATCTGTCATTTAAGAAGGCTGCCCAGCGGTATTCATAATTCATTGTTTACCACAAAGGTGGTTAATAAATTTAAGCTTTAAAAACGATCCGTAAGTTGATACTTTGGCTCTTTGGAGCTTATTTATGTAAGAAATTTTCCTTGATTGACCTCAGGGCAGTTGGGACGCGCCAAGGGGCTATGGCAATAAAAAGCTCAATTGATAAAGACACTCGAGGTGTAGAGGAGGCTCTGGCTAGTTCTCACCTTGTGGTGTGAACAAGGGTGTCGGTGTGGTTGCCCCTTCTGTTGGAGAGAGAAAGTGCTACTAAAAAACATTTAAAAAGATCAACCCTTTGATGCTTGATTTTCTTTAAAAATTTGGAGGTATTGAAACATCCCTCACCCATACCTTTTGCATATTTCAAATAGACCCACATTGGAGAAGAGAGTACAAATGAATGTGGACTGGGCATATGATGAGACGACCCGGGGGTCTGGCTTGGACCCCCTGTTAATACAGATTGACATTCCTACCAGAGAATACATTCCTACCATACATTCTGCACATGTTACGATCCAGATGTTGTTAGAGCTCCACAGTAAAATAAATATATTTACACAGAAAAAAAAAGGAATAAATAACTTATGGAAAAAAAAAATCACTTCAAATTCAAAGCTCTTAATATTCTGCTCTCATCTTGTCACTTCATTGCACATCACTGTCCATGGGTGTCCTCTCCCAGTCACACCCAGCATGTCTTTCTCATGAAGGCACCTCGAACTGCCTGCCTGACTCTGAATGCCACGCGATGTCCTCTGCACGGGGGAGGCACGCCCCAGTCCGCACTCAGACCGGGACGTGCAGATCGCACACGGCTCACAGTCTTCCCTGCTGGGACATCGCTTTGGGAACACTTGATGGTTTTGTTCTTTTTAAACCGCGCCACTCATTTCCCAGGTCTTCCTCAGAAGACCGTGAGTATCGAGCGTTTATGGCAAGGGTGTCCAGAGCTGACAAGCATTTGCCTGATGTTGGGGTGGTTTTTTTTTTGTTTGTTTTGATTTTCAAGACCAGCCTTACAAATACTAGAGTCCGAGACCACGTTTGGGCAACACTTCGCTGTGCTTATTTGAACTGTTGCCCAACATATGGGATTTGTTTAAACACACGATTTGCTAATCCAACCAAGTACAGTTGTTCTAAGTTACTGTAAATCAGCTTTTAACAATGGCAAATCAACCGCCTTACCCTGTTATTGTTCGGAATAATCAACACTATTGTGTATGTATACGTATGTATAAGTGTGCAGCATGTGGTGAGTTTACCAGGTCCTCCAGTTATCGAAAGCGTGGCATCTGGGCTGGCTTGTTCTCCACAGAAAAAGGAAGCTCTTAAAACGGACAGGCACAGCAACACTGGAAGCATTTACAACAACCCTCCCCTCACCTATATATGGTCCCTGGTCCCATCACAGGAAATGACACATCTGCAGCAGTACAAGGTGTCCTGGTGGAGGTTGCTTGTAGGAGAACAAGAGCAATTTGATCTGTTTCCCACTGCTCTCCTGAGTTGATAATTAGCCTTTAAAAACACATTCAAGTGGGGGAGGGGAGGGGAGGGGAAATAAATTAGAATGTAGATTTAATCATACCATACACGATGAATCTTTTGATTAGATGAGCAGTTCCTTCATCACAAATGTATTTGTTTTGCCATGTGCATTATAAAAATAAAACTATCTATGGCTTGTTTAAAGTGCCATCTTATAAAGCTGTCTTTTTTTAATTGGCCAGAAAGACTCAATTTTATCCATGGCAAGAAGTGAGCAGAATTGGTGACTGAATATTGACAAATGACTAACAACAAAGACAACAACAACAACACAAATCCCATAATTTAAAAATTCTTAAATAAATATAAAAGTTATTCCTAAAGAAGCCACCTGCATTTCAAAAATATAGGATGTAACCAGCGACAGTACCATTGGAAGAAAGAAACAACTGAAAGGAAAAGGCCATAAACAATGTCGGCAACAAGCATGATACATTGCAAACATTTCAAAATTAAATGTACACCGTTAGGAATAAAAAGCTACTTCTCAAGTGTCCTGGTTTGGGGGTAGGGGTGGCAAGGGGAGGAGGAGGAGGAGGAGGAGGAACATGCATAGAAAGTCCTGTGTATTTGGGAAAAACAGCCTTGTGAAGTGTAGTTAAAGCAGTTGATTCAAGAAAGCAACCAGATTGGAAGCTGTGACATAATGGGACCAACTCCTCGGCTGTTTCAAGAGTGCATCCGAGGCTGGGCCAAGGTGGGCCGAGGTGGGCCGAGCTCACGGTGGTGATCATGAAGATACCATTTTCAGCATTTAGCAACAGAGGGAAGGGAAGCTGGAAAAGACAACTGGGCAACATGATGGATGCCTTCTGGGGGAGATTTTTTTCCTCTAGGAGCCCTAAGCATTGCAAAAGGGTTTAGTTCCAAGTAGAGGTTGGTTGCTTTTCATAAAATTTTGTTCACATGTAAAATTTCAGGTCATCATAAAAATTATGCCAAAAAGGAAAGATTTGGGTTTTTTTTTTAAAAAAAATAAAAACAATTAAAAGCGCAAACTTGGCATAAATACAGTGAGTATTCGGTAGTCTTCCCCCTCAAGAGAGGGAGCTAAAGAGAACCATCACTTAAACCCCGAGCTCCATGGCCACCTCCCGCCAACTGCTTAATGCAAGTTTGATGAGCAGATGTGGCTCTGGCTTTGGAAGTCACAGTGCTGGCGGGTGTTCATGCCAGGAGGCCGGAGCTTGTGAAATTTGGGTGTGATATCGCCTGGCCCTTTCTTAAAGCGCTGTGTGTGTGTGTGTGTGTGTGTGTCTGCATTTGGGGGACGTCAACTGCGGATTGATTTGATCCAATTTTCTCTTTGCACCAAACACATATAAAACATTACAACGCTATAAAAGTACAAGTGCAACTTGTACATCTGAAGTTTGCAGGAACTATGTGAGCAAATCCTATCAAAATAGCTATCTCATATGTATAAACAGCATTTGTTTTTAGAAAAACAATATCATAAACTGCAGAATCTGTACAAAAATATAAAATAAATTTGGGCAGCAGTTTCTAAACAGCCATGTAAATGCAACACTTACGAGGAGTTAATGCCTCTAAAAAGGCTGAATTGCCAAGTCAACCTATACAGGGCGAAAATGCCGGAAAAGGTACTGAGATTATCTAAATAATATATATATATATATATACTTTTTCTTTGTTTTACCTCTTGCAATAAAACTTATAGAAAAAATAGACAAATATGCACATGCAATTTACAGCTTTCCCATCTTATTCCTTGTGCTTCACTTGAACTGTTCATTTTTGCCATTCGACATAGCAACATTGTCTTCAAATGTATTCTTTCCTATTCCAGGGTAGTAGGTCTCTGAGGAACCACTCAAAAACGTGTATTGAAAGTGGTCATACTTGGATGAAGGCACTCCAACTCTGCTCAAAGCAAAAACTAGTGTGATCCTTTTGTAAAACGTTCTTTTTCTCTGAAAAAGGCAAGCAAGGGTGCATGCACAGTGCGGAGCGCTGTCGGGGCGCGGGGACACTCGCAGGGTCCGGGCGGGCACGGTCGCGGGGGGGTGGGGAGGGGGGGGGGGTCCCCGGGGATTAGGACCCCACGAGCACCTCCATGATGTGGTCCAGCTCCGTGAGGTCCATTTTGAAAGGCTGACTCGGGGCGACGGGCTGGCTGCTGTAGGGGGCGAGGGTCTTGAGGAGGTCGTCCGCCGACACGGGGGCCATCTTCGAGGCTGTGCCCGAGGCGGAGGTGCAGGGGTCGAAATCATACATGGACGTGTCAATGTCGGCGAACAGGATGTCGTCCAGGGTCAGGTCCGTCAGAAACCCCGTGGACGTGGTGACCTCGAAATTCCCCGGCAGAGAGTCCATCAGTTTGGGGTCGTCGGGGCGGCCGTCGGGGAGCCCCTCGGGTTTCGGGGCGCTGGGCTCGCTGGCGCCCCCTTTGGAGCCGTCAGTGGCGGCCCCGGCGGCGGAGGTAGATGTGGGACAGAGCTCCTCGATCTCGTCCAAGGCGGAGGAGAAGCTGTCCTTCTCGGGCGGGAGGGCCGGGGAGGGGAGTCTGGTGGGGGCCGCGGGCGGCGGGGCGGCCGGGGAAGTGCAAAAAGTGTCGTCGTCGTCGTCCTCGAGCAGCGAGGCCGGGGTGAGGCAGGCCTCCAGGGGTGTAGTGCTGGCCAGGTCCCCGGGGTGCGCGGGCGGGGGCGCGGGGGCGCTGAAGGCGGGCGGGGCCTCCCGGTAGCCGCCGCTCAGCGAGGAGGCGCCGGGCTGGGCGGACGGGGTGAAGGCGGGCCGCAGGCTGCCTTCCTGCTTGAGCTCCTCCTGGATGCGCCGCAGCATGTTGTTGATTAAGACGGTCTTCTGCAGGCGGGGCTCGGTGAGGGACCGGTGGTTGTAGAGCTTCATAATGGAAATGTTGAAGATAGTCTGGCGCTGTAAGGTGTAAGACACCTTGGACGGACCGTCGGAGGGAGACAGGATTTTGCCTTCCAGCCCATCTTCATGCTCATCAAACTTCCGTTTTCCGCCTTTACCCAACATATATCTGGCAAAGGAGAAAGGAAGGAGACGGAGTTAATCACAGGAGAACTTACTGCTGCCATTAGGACGACGCTGATTCAGAGGTCAGGGCGTGGACTTCTGCGAGCCCCTGGCCCAGGCTTTGCTGGAGCACACGGGTTAACTGGGGGAAGACCTGAGAGTCAGGGAACTGGAAGATCTACTTTTGTGTGCCCGTGGAGCAATGTTTTTCACTCCACAGTCTGGTGAATGTATTTCTTGGGAAATGTGTAGGACCCAGACAAGTTAAACGTTACCATGGAAACCGTGATTTTTACTTTCTCAGCTCCGGCGCTTGCCTAACATTACCATGCAGGTTCAATTTCCCTCCCCCAAACAGATTTATTTTTAAAGCCCAAGAAAGACACTTACAATGCTATGACCTGGACAGATAAAGGTGTCAGAGGTTACAGCCTGAACACATCTTGAACGATTAAAAGAACCAACTTGGAGGGAACATGCACAATTTTGGTAGAACTGTGTGTGCTTTCAAAACGCCTTTTCCTTCCTCATTATGCATAGAGCCCTTCTGTCTGTCTGGTGACACGTGGTGAAGCACTTGGCCTGTGTTAAATGACCACAGTGATTAAGCTGCCACCGCTTTTCAGTCTAGAATCAAGTGGAAGAATGTGGATTTCCCTGCCCAAGTTTTTCCATGGCTCAATGTCACTGCATACAGCTATATCTGAATGCAAGTGGACTAACTGAAAGTAATGTGCTCTGATTATAAGCATTGCTGTTTGGATACTCGAGACATTTCATAACAAAATACTTACTGTGAGTCCAGATATATATATATGTATTTCAAAAAATCAGCACTCTCATAGCTCAGACCTTGAGCATTTGGGAGTGGGTGGGACTTTAGCTCCTGCCCCACCTTGCCTGACGCTCACAGCCTAGGCTGAGGCGCCTCCTCAGCTGCCCTGGCCCGAGTCAAGACACCTTCAGCTGGCTGCACCGTCCTCAGAACTTCGACCATCTCAACACAACAAGCGCAAGTCCACTGGCCTTTACCTCGTGGACCTTAACTTCTGACTATTTAATCGAGAATGTTGTCCTTCTGTCATCCAGACCAGGAGACATGGCTCTACGCCAAGCCCGTGCTTGCTCTCTCACCTTCTATACACGGACCCACGGACACGCGGACATGCTCTCCTCAAGGCCACTCACTCTGATATCTTCATGTACGAGCACGTGCTTTTGAAAAAAGTTATTCAATTTTTCTTCTAACAGTGACTTGCCTTTTACTGAATTGTTTCAGCTGATTTTGACGGTACCTTATTCAATCCTTCATTAACTCATTCCGCATCTATGCTGTCGTGGGCTCTCTGCCAGGCAGTGGGTCCCTCAGGGGAATAAAGCCTGGTCTTCACGGGGCTGAGTAATTTCTCCCACACCTCCTTATCATTTTGAACTCTGAGCCTAATCCTAAAGGAACACAGCTAACCACAATGAAACTTCAGAAATTCCTTCCAACACTTCGCTGAAGAAGGCCACGCTGCCCCCGGAGGCGGACAGATGTGCAGGTGGTCACAGAGCCTGGCACACAGGTCCCAGTGGAGGTGACGACCTCCATGTGCCTCAGTCTCAGGGAGAGAAAGACAGAAGACAGCTGCAACGCATCAATGTCAGAATCAGCTCGAGAATTTGTTAATGCTCATAAAAATGTGGAGCTACTTGCATGAAACACTTTTCCGCATTTTATAAACATTAAGAAAATGTCTGTCAATCACTAGAACCAAAGACCAGTCTCATAATGAATTGTTCCCTAAGGCGAGGGAGGTATGAGAGTGACTACTTGCTTATCTAAGACCTCATGTGACAAACATTTCCTACTCGGTAGTGCTGAGAGTCTCATTTGTATATATACTTTGCGTAGAACATTTCCTATCTGAAGTGTCTGTGCCCATTTAAACTTCAGTGTGAATCCGAGAGGAAGTGATTTCGTTTCACGTTACAAAACACTTTCTACTTTATGCATTTAGAAGTGTGACCGGACCACTGTGTTTTGAAACAGATAACTGTATTCACAATTATACTGTTTGTATTTGCTTACAATTTAAGCATCTAAATACTTCCAGAGAAATTCCGCTTTTGCCAAAGAGCTCTAAGTGCATTTAGTTCTCCTATAAAGTTGTTAGATGATCTATGTTATATATTATAATGTGAATAGACCCAAGACATTTAAACATGTGTGACAGAGTAGACAAATGTATACATGCAACAGCGAACGGATCGGCCTCTCTGACTCCATCTTGGTCAAGCCTGCTTTGTTCCCATGGCCTTCAGGCCAATGGCATCTGTTTAGTTTTGCATACAGACATGCTAATCATTAGAGGAATCCTGCTTCTCCCTTGAATTTAAAAAAAAAAAAAAAACACCCCCTTACCAGAAGGTGCCTCTCCCAAGGAGATAAGGGGAGTATATACGGTTTATCAAAGATTTGCAGGAACCTGGAGGCTGGACTCACCTCAACTAGGATCAACAGGGTCAACAATCTTCCTCAGACCCTCACTGGCACCCGTATGTCTTTGGTAGTCAATCATGTCTTGCCCCTCCCATTTCCACTTCCCTTGACATAAAAGAAGCCTGAACTCTGTGCCTTCTTAAGATGGATTTGAGTCACCAAAAGGTCTCCCATTTTTCTTGGTTGGTACCTTCTCAATCAATATACTTTTTTTTTTTTTACTCCAAACTCTGATGTTTTGAGTTTTGGCCTTTTAAAGCACTAGGCACACATATGTTAGACCCGTAGCATACACAAATACTCTAAAACAGTGTTTCTCAAAGTGTGGTCCATAGATGATCTGTAAACTGTTACTGGTCCATGATGAGGTAAGTAGAGATACTATATGATTGAGAAACTTTTATAGTAAATTTAAGAGCAACTGTATGTCTGTAGATCTAATAAAGAACGAGGATTCTATTTTACATCTTTGTACTTTTCATTTCATTTCTCTACCAATTATTTTCCTTGTGTTCTACTAAAGTATTAGTCTATGAAGGAGGAAGAAATCAAACAAAATGGTTCTTTATCACAGCAACTTTTAGAAACACTGTCCTAAAATGTAAACCAAATGCACAACTAAAAGCAAACTAGTCAGCTCACTGCCACTTTGAATTTTGCTGGCTTTCTTGAGGAAAGGTAGGCAAGGCACTATAGACTTGTCCTTTTCTTTTAGTCACTGATATAGAACTGTTTCTGATAAAGATTTGTTTCTGAAATAAATAACAGGATTTTCCCAATAACTCACATTTCTCTAGAAATAATCACTGAATCCTTGGAACTCAAATATTGACAAAGCGTTCAGTCCTGTAGGCATTTAGCAGAACTCCCGGAGCTGAGGAGAGGCTTTCAGAGGGACTGCCATGTGAGAAGCACCTCATTTCCAATTAGAATGCTCCAGCTGGTCATCGCTGCGGGATGACCCGTGATTTAGGAAAAGCTCATCAGAAACCTGTAATGCTGTCTGGAGGGGGAAGGAGGAGGGCCCGTGTAGGCAAACTCTGTGAGCAGGAATAGACAGAAAAAAATCGAATCTTGGATGCTTTTCAAATGAGTAAATAAGGACCCATGACAGAGTATGTCTCAAAGCAGGTTTGCCTTCATTTCTCTGTTTCTCTTTATGAGGCAAAACTGGCTCCACACACCCAGTAAGATTGCAAAAGGCACACAATCATGATGTGTAACCCTACTTCCACCTACATTTTTATAGAAAGGAATAAAATGCAACATCACAGAACCTAGCCCACATTTTTACTTAAAAATCAATTCTACAAAGTTAAAGCTTATCCAAAGTTTGCTTAATCCTGTTCAGAATCAAGTCTTCCCGCTCGGCCTCCTAGAAGTGGGAGGACGTGAGAGGAACTCACTCTCAGTGGCGTATTACCGACCACCTCCTTGGAGCAGGACACCATTCAAACAAGAAAATACAAGCCTCTCAAGAACCCGAGGGGAGGGCGAGAAGCCAACACACAGCATCTCAGGGCCTGAGCTCAGGTTGGCCCAAGCCAGAGTGGCAGCTCCTGAGCCTCTAGCTAGCGGCTAGCCTCCAGCACTGCACTGCACGAAACAACAATAGCTCAGTGAGCAGGCTATCCGAGAGACACGTGACCTTTTGAAAGGCCTCGCCGGGCTGCAGCCAGAAGACAGGCAGTAGCTGGGGCTCATTAAAGGCTTCCAGGTGCCGGGAAGGGGGTTCCTGTCTGAAAGGCCCGGAGCTCACCCAGAAGAGGTGCTTGTGACCCGGCTGACACCCCACTTTGTCTCCTCCCTCACCTTCAAAGACCCCAAAGGGAATCTGGGCTTCAGGGCTTGTTAAGAGACCCCCAAGAGGAGGATGGAGGTGGGGGGGCCTCCCTGTTCGGCCCATGCAAAGGGCCCTGAGACGAACCACAGGCACTCTTCCTTAGAACAGTCGGTCAGTGGCTCTTCAGGAAAGGTTTGAGATAAGACGCCTTCCCTTCTCCAATACATTTGTTAGAACAAACTCCTGGCTTTCTAATCTTCTTATCATACTTGTTAGCAACTATTAACTACAGCAAAGTTTTGAAAATAAAGAACAAAACTCACAGGAAGCAATATAAATGAAAACTTCTCTTTCAGAGTTTTCCACAAAGTTTAATACGGAATAAAACCATATACACCGAGCCTGGCTCCCGGTTGTGCAGCTTTCATTCAGAAGGACCGGGCTGCCCTCAAAGCTACAGTCCCCTTGGGCACATGATCAAAAGCAATAAATGTCACTAGAAGAATCCTCGGAAGAAAGAGGATGGAGAAACAGGCGATGGCATTACCTGATCCTTGGGGGTTTGCATTTCAAGATTTTGAGTGACGCCCACAGTAAGGAACCTGAGAGGTCATTACGGACTGGAGTATCCGGAGAGACTGCTGGAGATAGGCCTGGAGATTTGTATTTGAGGGGGGATGGACTCTTAATGTCTATTTCCCACCCAACCAGTAACCCCCAGGAGGGCGCAGCTTGCCTGTTCTGTTCACCTCCTCAGGACAGGGCAGTCCCTGACCCACCAAAGATGCTCCCTAGACAGTTGCTGAATAAGTAAACGGTAAATGGAAAGAATGAGGAAAGACACTACGGGACAGCCAGAGAAGAACGGTCACGAAGTTGGAGACGTGTGTCTCTGGTCCTGAGTGTGAACTGGGCCCGGGAGGGAGGGCGTGAGGAGGAGAGGCGGGCCTGGCTGAGGGAGTCCTGGGACCGGGGCACAGAGGGAGGGCTCTGCTCAGCACGCTCTCCTGTGCCGGCCGCTCTGAGTTCTGGAATGTGGGTGAGCATCAGACTCACCTGGGGCATGTGAACAGAGACTGTTGCCTTCCACCCCGAGATTCTCATTCAGCGGGTCTGGTGTGGGGCCCAGGAAACCTCACCTCAGGAACCACGACTTCCTCTCCCCTCAATTGGCCATTTCATGTTTAAGCCTGAGAATCTCTCTACTCAGTTAAACCCGAGTCTGAAGTCTTCCCTATCCGTGTCTCAGCAAGGAAGCAATAAAAGAACAAACAGCGTTTCCGTGATGGCAACCGACAGCTGACATTGGAAAGAAGACTATGCGGGATTAAGACGTCTTCAGCTCAATTTTATTGACAGCACGCAGCTCCTCCGACGGACACATCAGGTCCCCCTGGCCCGTGGGCCCAGATTCTTCTTACTGTGATCTCAGAGTGAATGATGGCAGCGAGGCCAAAAAGGAACGGAAACATTTAAATTAAATGTTTAAATTAAACACTAAATAATTAAAAGGGTAACATTTCACAGCTTTTGCATGTTTAAGGCATTAAGTATTATTAAATGTAAGTATTTAAAAAACCTACAAGTAAAAAAAAAACAAAAACCCACAAGTGATCAAAAAAGTTCTCTAATTCCATGTTTTTAAACTACATATTCAAGCTATGATTAAAAAAAATTTTTTTAAACCCCTCTCTCCTTTAATGTTATCTGGACTGTCAAAATAAATGTCATGATTTTTAAATTAAGACTATTAAACTTGGCCCGGCTGGCATGGCTCAGTGGTTGAGCATCGACCTAGGAACCAGGAAGTCACGGTTGGATTCCCGGTCAGGGCACATGCCCGGGTCATAGGCTCAGTCCCCAGTAGGGGGCATGCAGGAGGCAGCCGATCAATGATTCTCTCATTCTCTCTCTCCCTCTCCCTTCCTCTCTGAAATAAAAAATAAAATAAAATAAAACAAAAAGGATGTTAAATTTACTGGTGCAAACTACCACTTCTGTCAGCCCCACTAACAACAAAACCCATTGCTCTAACCTGCAGGCTCACCATAGCCCTCAGTGGCCACTAGTGCCCCCTAGAGGCCCAGAGCCTGGTAGCCACGGACTGACAGGCCCCTGCAGGGTGCGGGCAGCATCACTGCTGGGCTCCTGAGAGGCCTGAGTGGGGAGCCCTCCTCAGCCCATTACCAAGGCTGCCTTTCTGGCTTTCTGACTCTGCTGGTCCAAAAGAGACGTAAACATTGCATTGTGCTTTAGCGTAACTCATCCCAAACAATAGCCATTACCCCAGGCAGCAGGAAAGCCACTCATCTCATCCTGCTCGATATCCAGGGAATTAATGCTTCAAAAGGTCTTTAGAGGGGGTCAAAATTGATAGCTTGGTCGCAGTTTCTGAAGGGAGCACATGATTGGGAAAGGTGGGACTGACCACATTGTCAAAAAG